TTAAGTGATACCTATTAGTACAAATAAGGCGTTAGTTCAGGTGCTACGTGACGCTAAGTGACTTTAAGTAACAGTTTAGCGGTGATTGTTAAAACAGCCATAAGCAGGTGTGTTTTGAAAATATTATTTGTGCATGCTAAAACATGAATTACCAAGCGCTCCAAGAATTGAATAAGACCAAAAATTTATAATCACACTTCACTCCCAACGAACAACTCATTCCTCATTCAAACACCTCCATAAATAACGTTATAATTACATACCACGGAGTTAATTTTCATCAAAATTAAATTTCAACAATCTGTTATAATATTATTATTATACTCAAAAGCGGGGCGGTACCTAGGTACTTCGTAATAAGGTCAGAGATATCAATATCAGCTCTGCCATAAATTGGGGCTAGTATAATGGTTTGCCATCACGCATCGTCAACAAGTGGCTGATTTCCTTATACTTACTTAATATGGTGCAAACATTCGCTGCTGATAAATTTATATGGCTTAGTTATGTATGTCGTAAACTTTATATTGTTAAGATGAGTTTGATGGTAATGTCATATATTTTTGGTGTTTTAGGTAAAGTACGTTTAAAATGCTTTTTTAATTAATTTATTTTAAGGTTTTGATTGCCAATAGAAAATTGTTGAAGCCAAATCCTTCATTAACGTCAGTTACCATGGCGTTTAATGTGATAAAAGACTAAAGAAAATTTTTTATAAATAATACTAGCGACCCGCGCCGGCTTCCCACGAGTGCAACATGCTGTATTACATATATAAACCTTCCTTAAGAATCACTCTATCTATTAAAAAAAAACACATCAAAATCCGCTGCGTAGTTTTAAACATGAAAGAAAGAAAGGAAGGACGGTGGACAGCGACTTTGTTTTATACTATGTACTGATAATAATTTTCGCTATATTTCGTTCCTTTTCTGATTTTTATCTCATTGAAATGTTACAGTAAAAGTAATGGAATCTTACAAAGTATTTAAGAAAAACAATCCCTAAACATGAAATATACAATACTAATTTCAGAGTGTTTCATTTTGGTGAACGCCTTTCAAAGACCAACTCTAAAATACCAATTAAAAAATAAATAGAAATGACTATTCCTAATCATGCCCTTCCTCATAACTTTATAGCACATAAATCATTTTGTTCGAGCGTTAGCTTGGAGTCACACGAGGTAATTAAATTCCAATCAGTTTTATTCTCATTCCTCTGAGTGCAATTCTACACTCGTTACTTTGTATGAAAAAAGACCAGTATCCAATTATCTTGGCCGACGTATGCAGACGACTCTCCTTTTAGATTCAATCATAGGGTACAGAAGTACAGAAGAGCTAAGTGAATAACAACCAGTCTTTAACCTACTTTTATTTATTTACTGTACTTTTTTATGAAACGGTTTCACTTCGAAACTAAGCACGAACGCGGTTTTTTTTTCAATTGGGGAAAATCATCAAATGACTGCTCCCCCCTGGTTGAGGCGGGAGGAAGCGTCAGACTCTTACTGACTAAAAACCACCCCGTTCCCTCTCCTGCACATCGACCCGGAGCCCCGGTAACCCGTTAGGTTCTCCGCGACTCCGAATCGGCAGCACGAAAGCGGTTAAGAGCTAATTTCGGCACGGACATCAATAGCTTGTCTACGTATTGTGTCAGTAGATTGAGTAGGTAACTAGAGATAGAATTTTAATACATTTCTTAAGGATTTGTTATATTTAACTACAATCTCCATCATTGCTATGAACAGATGCTCGTTGCTTAGACTTACTCGTTCTTCTCCACTCGAATCGACATTTTGAAACGAGCGCCTAGCTTCACTGACAGACTGACAGACTATTATTTATTACATATTTATTGACGTTTCAAAAGTACCAAAATATGGTTAAATTGAAATAAATGCTTTTGAGTTTGAGTTTGAGTTTGAGATAGAAATACTTTTTTGGAGTCTAACTATCATTCATTCTTTTGTAGCCAAAAGACAAATCTTCAACGAACCTTGAACATTTCCGGACTGTGCACATTATTTTCTTTAACTTACATTAACCCAAGGTAAATACAAAACGTAAACAGTCTCATTATAAAGCTGTCAGTATCAAATCACAGTCCCCTTCGATACTTACTATAATTATGTAGTGGGGTGCGTATTATGTGTACAAGCGACAATACATCAAGCTATGCCAACCAGTATAAACTGACCATAGAATGTGCGAGAAGAGCATTTAAGAGAGACCATGATAGATTGGTTTCGTATAGCTCGATTGGTAGCAAGCGGACCAAGTGGACCTTCTATTTCTTCTTGCATCCTGCATCGACTCGACGTAAGTAGTTGGCACCCCACACTGGCGCGACGCGATAAGGTCCCACCCAAATTGATGTTTGAACTGTCATTAATTCCCCTACCCGACAGATGTCACTGCAGTCTATTATTTTTTGACACCTAACTGTCATTTGTTCTTATTTTATTTCGTTAATCGAATGAAGGACTGGGTTGTTGAACTATGTCGTAATAGCGCGGTTGATTAGACATGAATCATTGGTTGGAATTTTATTAGAGATCATTTGATGGTATTTTATTATGGTGACATGATGACAATCTAAAATTGGTTTGGCTCTGTTACATATTTACTATAACATTACATTCTCACACATAATCTTTTATACATATTTGTCTGGACTTTAAAAGAGACGGACCTCTGAGTTTGTTTCGGCATTTCTTCTCAGAGTAGTCAGTTAGGAAATGTCGACCTCATCATTCGCTTGATAAAATTGACGTGTAAAAGTACTGCCTTGTAGCCTATTTGCAGAAATAAATTCACTGGTTTTACTTGTATTATGATCAAAGTTTAAAAAGGTTTTACAAAGCTTCAAATATTAAAAGATATACGTTAACTTTTTAAATCGCCGATAAAATTCTACAAAAACGTAAACCGCAGTCTATAATAAATAGCTGTACACATTCACAGTTTACCAACAAGAGAAAATCACCAACGAACAATTTTCTCCATACATTTTCTTCCACGATAAAAAATCCTTACGAGCAAGATAGCGCCAAAAATATCGCAAGAAATAAACCATCACAGTAACTATTACACTCATTTTTATTCCGTTTATCTCATGACATGTTGGTTTATGACTCAATCGGAGTTATTCGGAATTATTCGTAGTTATTCGGGCGTTCGTTGCGTATGCATTGCACGGTGGCAAGTTTCTTTTATCTGTAATAAGATTCCAATTCGGATAGTCTTGATGTCGCGAGCTCCCTAAAGTAATAAACTAGTGGCAGAGTGGAGCTATAGGTGCGTTCTCATAGTGACACGATACGTTAATTTTGGTATTCTTTATAGAACATGGAAGTTTGAGATTTGAATTTGTTAGTAATGACGTTTTATAAAATAAATCGATTGAAAATATCACGATTATTGATCTTGTGAAAATTAAATTAAACTATGTTGGTAGTTTCTAGACAAAAGAACCTATTTATCTACCTATCAGATAATAATTGAGAAAATCTTTGTTGCTGAAATACCCATTGTTCACATATATGTATACACACATGACTCCAATCTCTTTGTTCTTTAACTTAACATTCTTTCTTCAAATACAAGACAAATTACTTCGTATCGCTCCCAACATTGAGCACAAACCCAATTGCGTACGAAATACGTCGAATTTGTAGAACAAATATAAATGGTTGAGGGTAGATCGAGGGTAGATAATTACATTTTTTTGATCTTCGGAAACTGGGGATGACGTCTGAAGCCAGACCCTTTGTGTTATATGCTTCGATAGTGTCACAGATATGAGACGTGTGTAAATAGAAACAAACATCACTCTCCTTTTGGCGGTTGGGTAAAATTGTGACGTCATACGCATTTGTTTGTATAAGGAAGTAATGCGTGGAAAAGTATTAGTAAATTTTTGACTAATGGAGTATAAGGTTACGGTACATTGATCTTTTAATGAAGCGAGTTTTTTACGACTTTGCTTTTGAATAAGCCGTGTGATAATGTTTGAATTCAAGGAATTTTCACCTTTATCGTTTCGAGTAAGTAAAGAGTCCTTGAGAATTTTTGTGTGAGATGTCTTAATATTATTAGGCATGCAGGAATTTCTGTATATTTTCTTTTTGCCAAGCGGATATAAAATATTAGTAGAAAATTTGATTTTACACTTAATTATGACTAGGAAATAATTAAGGTTATTTATTACATATTGCCTAATTTTTAACTACAGTCTTTTCATTGTTCACTACTGAAAGCTATCCTTAAGTATATTAATTAAGTCTATTCCTCAGAAAAGTCACTTATTATTAGTTTTTAAAAGTACCCTTAACCGAGGAGCATGCATGAAAGATTGATGACTGTTAATGAAGCAAAAGAGGTATGTAAGAATCGTAGTAATTGGCGTTCCTTAGTCTCTGCCTACTCCCATGGGAGACAGACGTGAAGTTATGTATGTATGTATGTATTAGTTTTTAATAGTCTTTACTGCATAATCATATTTTCAAACGAAATAAATCAAATAACTGAAAAAAGGACAAATATTTATAGACGTTGTGATGTTATGTTCCCAACCCAATTAAATTAAATTAACAAACAAAATAAAATAATGATTCTGTTTCATACATTAATCGTAATCTACACCACAACAACTTCCAAATAAAAATAGCCCGAAAATCATACCATATCATACTGTTTTCAAACAATCATCAGACTAATTATTTTTTAAATTAAGTATACCAAATAACTTAATGCTTCAAAACAAATTGCTTGCCCCTTCTAAACATTTATTGTCTTATCAGCCTTACACTAACTTTAAACAATAACGAGGCACACAGTTAATACTAAAACGCTGCAAAACCCTTCAAACAACAATTTTGCCGCACACAATTCAAAGAAACTAGCAAATCCAACCAATCAATAGTTTCAAAACTCAATATCAGTGAGAAATTCAAATATTCGAACGGTAATCAAAATCAAATCCAGTCTTACCTAACAACTTCATTACTTCGGCTTGGCTGATGAGAACATTTAGATGGCTCGTTGCCAATGGCAACGCGAGCCAGGCCGCCCAAGCGATAACAAGAATTTTAGCAGCCATTATTACATACACATCACTTTAACAGTCATTTTATTTTCACTTTTGAGTACATTTTAACACATTTTTGTCTCAATAAAATGTTTGTTTACGTCGTATCCATTTTATTTGTTTACGTATTTGAAATTAGAATGAACCATAGATGTTGTTGATTTTTTAAACGTCTCACATTTTCTTTTTAAACTGTAATAAAAATATGTTTCATTTATTTATTTTTGCAAAGTTAAATAACAAAACCATAATTTATTATTATTACGGAAACATTCTAAAATAACAAACAAAGTATTTTAAAATGCATCCGAAGAAAAATCAAACTTCATTCGAATTTCAAATTAACTCGTACGAAAACAAACCGACCCGAAAATTTTCGAATTCGGAAGCCGGTGTTTCGGATGCGTTCACAAGCGGACACAAGTCTGACGCTCGCGGTACCGCGCCGCACTGCCGTTCAACACCGCTCGGCGAACCAACAAGTTACTTACTGACATGCGCACAGCACAACCCTATCATCCCGAATACACATTTCATTATACATCGAAGATTTTACTTAGACACTTACAAATGTTGTCATACAAATACAGTTATGTACCTCACCCCATCTTTGAAATAGTCAAAATGTGTTTAAATTTTAAAGGCTTTCATTGAGAGGGACTCGTGTTTTAAAGGGAATTAATTGAGTTTGTCTCAAGGGAGAGGCGTTTCCGTTTTGCATTAAGACCGTTCTGTGAGTACTAATGAAATTACGATCTCTTTTATAAATAGAGTGCTTGCAAGTTCGTATCGAATACGATAAAAATGTTAAAGTGTGATTTTATGAAGGGATAATAGAGTTAAGTTATGGAAAGCAGGCTTAACTTGGTTAAAGCGAATTAGTACGAGTTCCGTTTCACATCGGATTAAATTAAGAATTTTCGTCAATATGCAAATAGAGTGTTTTAAACTTTGTCACCGGTACTCCGTCTTAAATGACAATTTTGTGTAAATTTACGACTTTAGATAATTTTGTTGACAGTTGTATTTTATTTCTACTTTTATGACCGTAGTTAGTAATGAGACTGAAGAGCTTTTGGACTTGTCGAAAATTTGACTGAGCACTTATATTATTATACGGATAATTAATGCCTGGCTATGATAACTATATAATAATTGCTTTACGCAGTTTTGGGTCCTTTTGCAGTTGGACTTGTAACCATTGAAGCACCAAGGCAGTTTTAATTCTTTACAACACTATAATATAATACATTAACCTTATTCTGTGCCGTCCTTTCACACATTCAGCTGTGTATCTCCACTGCAATACATCAAAACACGGCAAGTTTTCTCGGCTGCGTTCAGATTAGCCGTTTGTGGCGAATGTATAAGTAATATGGCGGCACGTTGCTTACTGGCACTGATGAATGATCCCACTTAATAAGGGAACATTCTCTTGTTTATTAAGTAAACGATTACTAGAGGCGATGTGTGTATTATTTACATGGTGTAGGGAAATGTATTCAAGAATTGTCTCTGTGTGATCTGCGTTCATGGTGAACGTTTTTTTTGTTGTTAAAGAGCCTAAACGTAAGGCATTCCTTATAGTTATAGATAATATGACTTATAGTTATAACATAACCTTTCCATAACTTACAGTTATAGATATGTACCTAAAATGATTCAATATTTTAATTTTATAAATTGTTATTAACAAATGAAGAAATAAAACGCTAGACAGTTGAAATGTACCTTTGAAATAAAATTCAAAACAGTTCACAATTCAATAACATTAGCTCAACGTATCTTATACATAATGTAAGCAGACGACGATCGGAGCGCACTCTTGCGGAAAATTCTGGAAACTCACACGGCTATGAAGTATGCACGACTGGCGCGAAGTTTATGCTTTTTTTTCATATTTTTAAAATGCGAACATTTTTTTTTTGAATAACGAGTTTATGGTCCGCGTGCAAACGACAATTTATTCGGATTTGAAATTCGAATTCGGTTCTATGAATGAATGAGTTTTGAACGGGATAGAGTGATTTGATTTTGAACTACGCATTTTAATTGTTTTTTCAAAACGTAAATACTTGCTAAAATCATTTTGTAAAAAATGTTCACTGTTATATTGCGTGAATCTATAATAGTATTCAAATTCAAAATAATATAACCCTTGTTCAAAATAATATTGTTCAATAGTTAACTTTACAAAATGTCCAAGAACTATCTACTAATCATCATATTTTTCATTAACATATTTATTTTCCTGGTTTAACTTTCAGTGCCACATGAAACTTTTAAATAGTTTCAAAAGTACATACGTACTGATTATTCAGTGTTAATATCTCAATGAGAAAAGTCGAAGACTTTTTATTAAATAGGGACCTAAGTACCTATTTCCTATTCCTATTTATTTGGTATCTACATGTCTATAAGAGCCTTAGTTTCTAGTCATCAGTGATAACCCCGAGAGTCACGATTCACGATCAGCGTCATTCGACCCAACGAGATTAGGAACCTATAACCTAAACCCTAAACCCTAACAGCCACATTTCATCGTTGCACATATCCATATTTCCCGGTTATTGTGAAAACGGAACGATGTTAATAACGCAACCCAGCAATTTGTACAATGCTGCACAAACGATATTGCTATCGAGCTGTTGGGTGCTCGTGCTACCTATTTTTTGCTCGCCATTGCTCGGTAAATGTGTTTAGCTTAAATTGTTTTGGGTATATCATATTTCTGAAATGCAACTATATGTATATACAGGATAAGCGTATAAATCAATTCGAAACCGGGTTTTATTTGTGCAAATTGTCGAAAATAAAAATGGTGTGTTTTTTTTATGGGACAAGCTCGCCACAACCTCCCAAAACCGCTGCAACTCCTGTAAGCCAGGATCTACAGTAGATACAACCATGAAAACACCGGAACATTGAAGTCCGGCGCGTCCCAGGGACATGAGTAACTGTCTTGGTTCCCGCAACGAAGTGAATCAGAAGATATTAAAAAAATGGTGTATACCTATTTTTAATATTTTATAGTAAAAGTCTATTTGTGTTAATTATACCTAAACATGCCTGTATTTGCTGATTTTGCATTTAACCCCAAGGTTGAGTGGGAGAGAATGCCATGTGACATTAATTTCCGCCTTATGTGGGTACATGACATGACTGCCTCGTTGGCCGAGTGGTCGCAAGTGCGACTGTCGGACAAGGGGTCTCGGGTTCGATTCCCGGGTCGGGTAAAGTATAATTAGTTTAAAAAAAAATCTAATAGCACGGAGTCTGGAATTGTGCCCGGTATATGGCAATAGCCCCTATTATATGAGACTCATAACATAAATAGTGAAAAGTGGGTGTTACATTGTACAGTGGCATAATGTGCATCTCTGCCTACCCCTTCGGGGATAAAAGGCGTGATGTTATGATGTTATGTAGGTACCATTACTGGTTTTCGTGTACATTAAAGTTTAAATAAATAAATAATTACCTTCAATACAGTAAGTGGGTAATGACTCTTCTATATATAACAATAAGGTATCAAATGCTAAACTAAAAGTCACTAGCATATGGAGAAATTGAAATTACCATAAAAAAATGTAATCGCCATCGAGTAGATTATAGTGACAGCATTTAATAATGTTTTTAACCCCATTCTTTTTAAACATTTATTTATTTAAAACCCCTGGTCGTCATCAGAATCATATTAGCAACATCATTGTGTATATCTAGAGTCTAAACATCAATATATAATTAGACTGCACGGTTGGTGCGGTGGCTGGGCAATCGGCTGGCATGCAACGTGTCGTGGGTTCGATTCCCGCACGAAATAACACTTTGTGTGATTCACAAATTGTTGTTTCGGGTCTGGTAGTCTTTGTGTATGTGAATTTGTATGTTTGTAAACGCACCTACGACACGAGAAAATCCTAATATGGGGTTTTATTAAAATTAAAAACATATACAAAAAAAAATTCCCTCTCAAAAATTGGGCAAACAAGGAAGCTGTTCGTAGTGTTCATCAAAGTCAAAGTCAAAGTATATCCTATTCTTCATGCAAGTATTATAAGCATAGACTTGGCTGAGTCATAGTGCAATACTGAACTGTTGCGGGTTATGAATGCGAGTTACTATTATTAAAAAACTGTCGTGGTGGCCCGGAGGTTAAGACGCCCGCTTGTCATGCATGAGGGTGAGGGTTCGAAACCTATCAACGACAAGTACCAATGTGACTTTATCCAAGTTATATGTATGTACTTTCTAAGATTATTTAGACACCACTGACAAACGGTGAAGGAGTGAAGGAAAAACATCGGAGGAAACCTGGACTTATAATTTCTAATTATAAGTTTGAAATCGCCAACCCGCATTGAGCAAGCGTGGTGATTAATGCTCTAACCTTCTCCGTGTGAGAAGAGGCTTTGCTCAGCAGTGGGCATTTATAGGCTGTTGATGATGATGATGAATTATAAGTTTGAAATCGCCAATCCACAATGAGAAAGCGTGGTGATTAATGCTCAAACTTTCTCCGTGTGAGAAGAGGCTTTGCTCAGCAGTGGGCACTTATAAGCTATTGATAATGATGATGATTAAAAATCTATCCTAAAAATAACATTATACAGACCAAACATGTCAATAAATCCAACATTTATCCATAACATGTTTATACTGACTCATAACTACATACTTATATTATCCTTAGAATATTTTCGGCCATGTTAGTTTACTTCCAAGATGGCGACGGCGGGAAACGTCATATTTGTATGACTGATCTGTACAAACATTTTTAGTGATGTATCACAATATTGAACGTTTGTTTGTGTGTGTTTTATTATTATATTCGTATTCGGATATGTGTTATTTCTATTTTTATATTCAGGCTGTTGTTTTTGAGTATAACTGTGTGACTGTCGTGGAGATTTGGTTAGAGATGGAGGATGAACTGAGACCTAACATAACCTGGACATAGAAAATCAGGATCACACCACTCCATCAGTAATTAGGTGTTACAATTTGTATTA